CTTCATAAACGACATAAGCATTATTCAAATATTAGTACCAATTTATTCTTTTAATTTCATGTGTGAATTCGTTTAAACAACGAAACAGAACTGATGTGTTTGATTTCTGTCTGATCCTGTAAGTTTTAAACTAAAAAAAAAACAATATACGAGTAGAAAGTTGAAAATATCGGGGCGAAAATATCGCTTCATGTATGAGAACAGAGAAAATTCGGGTTAAAAGACGATTTTTTTTTAATGGTGGCGTTCTTCATATATTTACAGATTTATTGATCAGTTTTGTTCATATCTTGTTGTGTGAGGGAATTATACTTTATATGTACGTTGGAATATTTAGTCATTACCTTTGCAAAAATGGAGGGAATAGGGTAAAATTAGCGGGCTGATGCGGAGTAAAAATTATACGTCCGCTCCCGATGTAGTACGTCTCGGGCGTACGTGCGGGTGGACGGTTATTTCGTACACTGCTCTTAAATAAACCCCCAAATCACAGGTTCCTCTTTTTTCAACAATTTAGACCTAATGCAAAAATCTCTTCTGTTCCGTTTAACGGTTCAAAATTGTCTGAAAATTATACATCATTTTTAATTTAGAAAGTACATGCTATTGTAAGAAAAACAATAGCAAATTTGCCATATTTCATTGAAAAAAAGTTATGGTCAATTAAGAAAACACACCAATATCGATTGACAGACTTTAGCATGATAATTAATGCTTTCTATAAAAATCAGTGTCTTTTTACAATATTAGAAACTGAATATTTCTTCAAAATTAGTAGTTTCTGTATAAAGAATTCTTCATTATTTCCAAACATAAATACATGTAATAAATCATATCAGATTTTCAAAGATTGTATCAAAGAACTCAGCAGTATCCCTCATCTTCCTGCAACCTTAAATATGGCTCATATTCTTCAGAAATCTCACGAACCTCAATTTTTTGGCAGCTTTATGTTATCGAAAATCACATCTAAATTTCCAAAAATTTAGTTCTAAAAAGGAAATACATCATGTACCAACCTTTCTTCTTTGGAATTGATTCTGTACCCTACAAGTGGTAGTCATCTACTCTGTCCTTTTATATGACTGATGCTTATTAACGTTATGTTATGTATGTATGGATACTTGCTTTCATTTTTTACACAGATGAGGCTTTTTTTCATTGTATAAGATACGAGACAAAACCTTTTTTTTATTTAATTATTTTTTAATTCATTATTATTATTTTTTTTTGCACTGGTACCACCCTTTTGACAATATTGCCTTTTCCCATAAACAGGATCATATATAAATGAAAAGATCATTCACAGAAGATGTTCGATGTTTCATTCCTATTAGATTTAGATAGATTACATGATCAGTACGTACTGGTCCCTGCTGACAAAGCAGGTAACAACATTGTCTTTGTTTGTAAGGCTCATTATATTAAATGTATTTTAGAGGAACTTGGATTTAAGTCTACAAGTGGTAATCCAACTTATACTCATAGTTTCCTTTCTACGGAAGAAATTCTTAAAATCATATGTCAGTTTTGAATAATTTTAATATTCCAAACAACCAAAATGAATTTGAATTACCATATCTATATTGGATTCCGAAACGTCATAAAAATCCTTACAAACAAAGATGCATAGTGGTTTCCAGTAAATGTTCAAACAAGCCTCTTTCTTTACACCTCACTAAGATATTAACAGTAGTGAAGGAGAAACTTCAAGAGTACTGTGCAACAATATATTCGAGAAGTGATGTAAATCAGATGTAGATACTTAAAAATTCCAAGGAACTTTTGTTTTTTATTTGTATGTATGTTGTTTAACGTCCCTCTCGAGAATTTTTCACTCATATGGAGACGCCACCACTTGCCGATGGAGAGCTGCAAATTTTGTCCTATACTCGGCACTTACGGCCATTGAGCAGTGAGGGATCTTTTTCGTGCCAGCACCTACTGCGACACGGGACCTCGGTTTATTCGGTCTCGTCCGAATGACCGGTCTCCACGTCCCACAGTGGGATTCGAACCCGCGACGTAAGGATCAACTCCTTACTTTGAGACTCTAGAGCAGACGCTCTAACCACTGCGCAACGCGGGCGACCCAAGGAACTTTTGGAAAATTTGAAATCACAAGATTTTACCAAAATCAACAGCTTAAAAACTAACGACTTTTCAACTTTATACACAACCATTCCCCACGATAAATTAAAGTCCAGGCTTTTTGATATTATTGACAGCTGCTTTTTCAATAGAAATGGAACTCGTAAATTTACTCACCTTGTCATTGGTCATTTGCAAAATTATTTTGTTAAAAAACAATCTGATTGTACACACAAGTACTCTGAAGTTTACATTAAAAAGATGCTTGAGTTTCTGATTGACAATATCTATGTGGTTTTTGGAGACCAGGTCTTCCAACAATCTATTGGAATTCCCATGGGTACCAATTGCGCCCCGTTATTAGTAGACCTTTTTTGTATTCATATGAATCAGAATTTGTCCAAAATCTTAAACGTGAAAAGAAGAAAACACCTCCTGTGGCGTTCAACTCGACATTTAGATATATCGACGACGTATTGTCAATTAACAATAGCTATTTCCATTCTTATGTCGATACGATATATCCAGGTGACCTTGAGATAAGATACCACAGAGTCTGACATATCTGTTTCATATTTGGATATTTTACTTGAAAAAGACGTTAATGGTAATCTAACAACCAAGCTTTATGATAAACGTGATGACTTTAACTTTTCAATCGTCAACTTCCCTTACTTATGCAGCAATACACCTTTATCACCTGCATACGGGGTATATATCTCTCAGTTGATTCGATACGCAAGAGCATGCTCTACGTATCTACAATTTCCAAAACGAGGTAAATTATTGACAAATAAGTTGATAAAACAAGAATATCAGCTGTCTCGTTTAAAGTCATCATTTCGTAAGTTCTATGGTCGATACAATGACCTAGTCAGCAAATATAATTTATCATTGAGTCAAATGCTGACTGAGGTTTTTCATACTAATTGTTAGGTCATTATTTGCACACTGAATTGTCGACGGATTTTTCCGTTATTTCCCGATCATGACAAGGAGCACACGGCGGGTGTGACCGGTCGGCAGGGTATGTTCACTCCTCCATGGCACCTGATCCCACCTTTGATGTTGGAGGTCCGTGTTTGCTCTGCTCCTATTTTGTATTGTTTAATGGACTTATGAGCTTGAATACTGTTCGTTATTTCCATATATTTCATTGGATGACCTGCTTTAAAAAAACAAGACTTTTTTTTAAATTTGCGTAATAGCAGAAACACTGAGAGTCGGTGGTTCCTCAGTCAAAAAGTAAATGAAAACGTGATTTTGTTTAGAAGCATTTAATTTCTAAAATGTGTAACTCCATCACTTCAGATAACTTTTATAGCTCACCTAAGCTGAAAGCTCAAGTGAGCTTTTTCTGATCACATTTTGTTCCGTCGCCCGTCTCTCCGTCTGTAAACTTTTCACTTTTTCGACTTCTTCTCCAGAACCACTGGGCCAATTTGAACCAAACTTGCCACAAAGCATCCTTGAGTAAAGGGAATTCAAGTTTGTTCAAATAAAATGCCACGCCCTCTTTCAAGGGAAGATAACTAAGAAATAGTGAATATTTAGTTGTATCTTTTAAAAATCTTCCTCTCAAGAACCACTGGGCCAAAAAGGTTGGAACTAATATTTTCGCAAATCATGGCCTCCAGGGTAAGGGTGGGGCCACAATGGATCAAAGTTTTACATAGGAATATTTAGAGAAAAAAAATCATCAAAAATCTTCTCAAGAACAGCAAAGCAATTATTAGTCATATTGATATGGAAACATCCTTAGATAGTGAAGATTCAAGGTTGTTGAAATCATGACCCCCGAGGGTAGGGTAGGGCAACGGAGGGAGCAAAGTTTTACAAAATGTTCTTCTCAAGAAACGCAAAGCCATGATCAGTCATATTGATATGGAAGCATCCTCAAATATTGAAGATAGGGGAAAATCTTCTTCAGAAGAAAAGCAAAGCCATGATTAATCATATTGATATGGAAATATTCTCAGGTAGTGTAGATTCAAGTTTGCTCAAATGATGACCCCTTTGGGTAGAATGGGAACAAAATACACTATTAGAGTTTAACATATGGATGTATAGGGGAAAAAAATCTCTAAAATACTTTTCTCAAGAACAGAGAAGCCATGTTTAGTCCGTCACATTGATACGGAAGTATCTTGAGGTAGAGTGTAGATTCAAGTTTGTTCAAATCATTACTCTGAGGGGTAGGGTGGGGCTACATCTATAAAAATCATGACACTGGGTGGTAGGGTGGAATCACAATAGGGATAAAAGCTTTACATAGGAATATATAATAGAAAAAATCTGCTGATGAAAAACAGCAGGGCTTATATTGACTCTGGTGAGCACTGTGGCCCATGGGCCTCTTGTTTTACTTATGGAAGTTTAAGTTAGGATCATGGGCATAGGACTTTTGCGAGTAGCACACTTTTACAGTTGACTGTTTACTTTGACATTTAAACCTGTATCATGTATGGAGGTACAGAATTGATAATAGATGGGAAAATATTTCTAGTGGTCATAGGTATGGTGTTAGGGGCACTAACATGTGAAGGCCGGAAGTTAAGGGTAGGGTGGTTGTCGTTTTCTTCAAGGGCAATTTATTTGTGCTTTTAAATAACCCGTTATTTTCGTTTAATTAAATATTGACCTAAATATTTATATCGTAGAAGAGCTTCCGTACATTGTCCTAGTGTAAAAGTAAGCCGTCAACTGTAAAAGTCAGCGCTCCTCGCAAAAGTCAACTAGAAGTTGAATTAAAACCAATAACTTGATTCCATTGTAAGAATATATATTGATCATTCTTTGTTTTCTTTGATAAATATTGCTTTTAAGAAGAATATTGAAATTTTTCCTGCATTGTCATTAATCATAACCTGCTAATATATTATCATTAAAAATAAAATACAAATACGGCATGAATATTGATCGTAATTTATTTCAATTTCCAATACAAAACATTTACCAAGAACAAGTGGCCAAATCAGCGACATCTTGAATGTAAAAAATGGATTTCTCAAGTCAAAATGTTGTGGATATCAATTAACCTGGGTTAACCCCGTGGTGAGGAATGACCTTTACGTGCACTGATGTCAATACTAATGTTCAAAATATACACACATAAAAAAATACAATAAAAAACACACTAGGCTACAAGTAAAACTACACAAGTATCTTTAAAAAAATCATTAAGCCATCTAAGGTTTTATAGGAGGATAAATCACAGATCTATACATTTGCACCCAGTGCTTCCACAGTAAGTTTTCTTCTCTGGTAGCATCTGTTTTATCGCCGCTTTGATATCTTCTTCTTCTGCTCCAATTTTAGAAGCTATGTTAGAAATACACGGACAAAATTTCCATGTAGTGCATGTTTCCATTATGGATTTCATATTTTCATGTAGCATTTTCAGTTCGGATGCCTTTTCTTTGATTTTCTTTAGGTCTTCATCCGATATGTCAGGGCAGTTAAGTCGAAAAAATGAAAGTGGAATGAAATCATAGTCAGTGATAGCTGTATATTTGCTTGAAATTTGACATAATACATCTTTTTCGGTTATTGAACTGGAAAAAGAACGAAGAGATTGTTCGCCTTGAAACTGGTATGCGTTTCGTATGGCTGACATCATTTCGCTTAAGCCAATCACAGATTCTCTTTCAAATTCAGTGTCTATGACGTCATTCATAATCCTCATATTTTGCTGTTTTATAGCTGCTTTGTCCATCATCGAATAAAATGTATCGTTAACTTCACAACGGGGTATAAATGGTGCTAAAGGATAGTAATCGTAGAATTTTCTATCTGCCCTTAGTATTGCAACCGTGCAGACAACATCCTTCTTTGTCAACTGGGCACCGTAATTGCGTACTTCTGAAGAGGCATCAAGTCGGTATAAGGAGTGAAGAAATTCAGTCATCTGCAAAATTCCTTTACTTCTGTTCGTATTTTCGGTAACATAATCGTACAGTATGGATCGTGCTCGTAAAGCTTCGCTGATAGCTGTCAAATTATTATTATTCCCATTTAAGAACTCGAGGACGGAACTTTGGAATCTAAGTATATTGTCCCTGTTTACTCCTTGATAATTCACAGAAAGTAAGCTTTTCGTTTCGTTTATTGCAAGGCGCGGCAAACCTACCACATCTACGAAATCATTATATCGGGACAAATTTTTCATGACAGATTCAAATGTTTCTGATGAATCTTTGAAAGTTTTAATTACTTTTTCCCACTCTCCCTTCAGATTGTTTATCACGTCCTGTAAATTATTTTTGTTTTCTTTTAAATCTGCAAGGTGGTCTTCAAAGTTCTTTTTGGCGTCTGCAACTTCTTTATCTTTCTTTTTCCAAGCATCTATGTTCAGTCCGATAGAAACAGCATCAGAAATGACACCAACCACTGATAAGCCGATGTTTAGCTTTGACATTTTAAATTGTTTTACCTTATCGAGTTTTGCTCTAAATTTTCCCTTGGCAATTTTTGCTTTCAGTTTCATGTTCTTCAATGAATTTTTAAATTTTTCCTTCATATTTCCTCCAATACCTTTCCATGCTTCCTTGGTAAAAGCCTTTTTCAGAGATTTCAATTTCTCTGCAGACATTGTTTTAGCGTTTTTTAATTTTTCTGCAAATGCTGTTTTCCCTTTTAGAACTGCATCCCGTGCATTTTTGGCCATCTGTTTTAATGCTTTTGGAACAGCTATCAATTTTTGTCTAGTAGCAGACTTTGAGGTTTGCTCAAATTCCCCTAGCATGGCTTGAACTTGACTTCCGGAGAACAGATCCTCTGTAACCTGCTGGTATGCTTTTTGAAATGACTTTGCAAATGAATTTATAGCAGACTCAACGAGTAACTGAGCGACTATCCCAATAATCTGCATTTGTTGTTGTTTTTGTAGCATAGTTTGGATGTCATTTAACGAGTATTCCAGACGTTGCATACTTAATGTTGATAGATATTTGGTGAAGTTCCCTTTTATTGCAATGTCTGTTAAATCGACTGATGTGGGGAAAAATGCTTCAAGTTTGGCATTAATGTCTTCTTGCCTTTCGCGGATGCTTGAAATCTTTTTTATTGTTTCATTAATATAATACTCAATAAAACCGTTATTGGTGTATGCGGAACGAAAGTCCACGAAGTTTTTATTATGTTTTATGAACATTTTTTTTAACTCCTCCTTTTCGTTATTGATTTCTTCCTCCAGTTTTTCCATAGCCTTTATGTTATCACACATTCTAGGGAAGAAGGCACATCCCTCTGAAATGATATATTTTGAGATACTGGAAATCTTTTCAACAAGAGGAAAACGAAAATATTCCTGCATATCCAGCATAAATATTTATAGACAATGATCAAAACTGAAACCAGAAAATGAAACAGCAATTGTAGAACATGAAGATGAAATTATTAACAATGCGGACAAAACCACCTCAACTACAAGACCAAACTCTGAATTGAATTAAGGTTATGACTGACTTCCTAGGCAGGAACTAATGCTGGATGGTATAAAAAGATTACATTTATATCTTCAAAAATACAAGCTGGTGAAACACATTTGAATCAACCATTACAATGGCCCTGACCTTTGTCATATCCTGACACATAACCCTAGAAACTAAAGGAAATTAGACAAATCTGTGAAGTATCAAGTCATTTTATTGTGTGGCTTCAGAAATAAAACAATTGGACAACAATTGTTCTGATGATTTCAAAAATCATTCTGTCATTCAGGCAAAGATGTGTAGGGTTTTTTTTTTAGAGGGGATGGCATACATGCACATAAGCTAGTCAACCGTGCACAATGCACAAACGAACTGATGGACAAATAAAAGGAATTATATTCTGTAAACCGACTTAATCGCTTGCGAGAAATATCAATTCGCTAATATTTCTCGCAGCGAACTATTTATTTCATTGTGTTTGTTTGTATGTTGTTAAACGTCCCTCTCGAGAATTTTTCACTCATATGGAGACGCCACCACTTGCCGGTGGAGAGCTGCAAATTTTGTCCTATACTCGGCACTTACGGCCATTGAGCAGTGAGGGATTTTTTCGTGCCAGCACCTACTGCGACACGGGACCTCGGTTTATACGGTCTCATCCGAAGGTCCGGTCTCCACGTCCCACAGTGGGATTCGAACCCGCGACTTAAGGATCAACTCCTAACTTCGCAACTCTAGAGCAGACGCTCTAACCACTGCGCCACGCGGGCGACTATTTCATCGTGTATTTATGTAGAGTATTTCCTCGGGGACCAAAATTAGTCGTTGTGGATAGATTTAAATTGAAAAATATCAAATAATAGTTGGTTTACAGAGAATACTTCATTGTTTCAGGCGGTGATTAATCAAATTCAACCTAATTTAACATGGCAACATAGTGTGTTACAATAAGTGCAAAACTTAATAAGATATTATTTAATGCAAAGTACATGAACATTTTATTTAAGTATTAGGACAAAGTTGGTCAAGGAAGTTCATTGAAATCAAATTGAAGAATATATTTCAAAGTATGGAGAAACCGCTTAATTCTGTATGCTTTATATGAGGGGTTGGACAGAGTGTTTCTTTCTTACCTTATCTTAAAATATGTAATTCCCTCCCCCCCCCCCATACCCCCCTTCATCTTTCTCCCACTTTCCAACCCCCTCTACCTTCTCCATTTCTAACACATCCAACTCCCCCATCCCTTGTTATCAAAAATATAAAAAAATCTTCATATAAACTTTGTCTCTACTTTGTCGCTCTGTTTCTGATCTTCAGAGATACATGTACCCAATGCATTTAATCATTTTCCGTACATTGGGCATTATATTTCTATACATGTATTTTGTTTCACAATTTTGTTGACTATCAAATATTGATATTTTAGAACAATAAAGTATTATAAAATAAAAAGAAATTTGTTTTGTTTTTAAATATCTTTTTTTTAAATGCTTTTGGTCCTCTTCTTTAAATTTGACGAATATCAATGTACCAAGAAAAGTTGAATGAAATAAGGCGAACACAAAATGAATAATAACAACATTAAAAGTCAAGTCTTATTACTAAATGAACTTTTCAAAATATTTTTTCTTGTTCCAGAGTTTGTATTTTTGTCTTGAGTCTTATTTTCAAATTTACTCTTCATTTCACAATTGAACTGTAAAAGAAATTTGGCAAGAAAAGTAGTAAAACTTTTTTAACGAGATTATTTTTCATAGGAGCTAAACATGATTTGAAAACGAGCAGTTATGTTTTGGTGAGGGTGAATTATTTTAAAGGTGATTTGAGTAAATTTGTCATTAGAAGGCTCAGATTCGTTAGCTACATCCCAATATGTTTAATTCACATCAACCCTTTTTCAAGGTCATATCTTTCTAATAGTATGAAATTTATTGATTACATAATTCAGTGAGTTGTGTTTTTTTTTTTTTTTTTTTTTTTTTTTTTTTTTTTTTTTTTAGTTTGTCGCGATCTGTGGATTTGAAGTTGGCAATGAATCATTGTGTGGTGTCATTGAGGAGGGCTTCAGAGAGATTGACGAAAAGGAGAACCGAGAATTTATTTGTAAAGTGTATAAATTTAATAAATTTGAACGCGTACCCTATATAATTTGTTGTCTTATATGATAAAATGATTTATGTTCGTTTGAGAACATAATAGCAATTCAAATTTTAGAAATGAAAAATGTCATCTTTTATTGGGAATACCTCATCAGAAATTTATGTCAGACTTTTCTCAAGGCAATTGAACCTTGATTTTTAGCTAAAGGCGTTTCTACAAATATGAAAGAAATCCGCATGGTAAAGTGAAGTCTGGAACCTTCTTAGATTATTTGACAATTTCTCAAAATTTACTCACTTTTTTTGCCTCAAAAATTAAAAAAAATTGTCAGTCAAACTTTTTTTTACTACATATGTTTCCATACTAATGGAAATATTTGAAGGAAATTTTACGAGGAATGTTGATAGGCATAGGTTTAGGGACGAAATGGTGGAATGGATGCATTAGGAATAGATGAACAAGGCAACTACCTGATTCCTCACTAATTTTATTCCAGATATTAAAAAAATGCTTCAAAATTTTTTAAACAAAACCATATTACTTAAAAATGTCAGCTGTGTCAACCAAAATCAGTAAACAGGGTACTTACTTGTAACAGCACCTGCAATATTTACTGCGAGACTTCCTAAGCGTATAGTCGTTGTAACCCCGAAAACTGTGAAAGAGAATTTAATATATTGAAATACCATTTTTGCATTGAAATTAATCTTTATTCAGAAAACATTTATGATGATACCATAAACCACAAAAAGCTAAATTAAAAATAAACTTACCAAATAATGACCCCAATCCTCTTTTTGATATGGCATGGGTATTGTTCTTTATTTTTGCTGTGTCCAAATCTAGAAACAAATCGATCATGATAAACAAAATCTGTTTGGTTTTGCGTGTGTGTGTATTATTCAAAGAACTGCATGGGAAAATATTTTAAATTATGATTATACCTTTCAACAGCGGTTTAAGTATTTCTGACTTCTCCAGCTTATCTTGAGCCTGTCTTTCACCTGAATGTAAAAAAAGATTTTTTTAAGCTTGGTGATGCAAGTTATTTAACTTGTTTTTGAATCTTTTTTTATCTTTATAAGGAAAAATATTTAATGAAATAACAATAGATCGTGTTTACTTTAAATTTGTAAACGTAGCAACATTGCTCTTTAAAATTTTTCCTTTAGTACCTTTGAACTTCCTACCGAGACTTAGCTGCAAGAAAGTAAGAACCAACAGCGCATACAGAGTCAACACTCTCATTTCTGAAATAAATACATAAATTAATTTGTTTATCTTTACAAAAATATTTTATAATCTTTAAAGTTTCAAATTGATACAAAAAGAATGGGTGTGTACTTTAACAATTATCAGCAATTCTCTACTTACTGAAAATATTGTGTCTGGATGTCTTTCCCTGGCATATAAATTATTGACAGCATTATCCTCTATATATATTCATGCCTCTATATGCATCATCAAGTGTTCTAAGAAAGAGTTGATAAGGCACTTCAAGGATAGCGTCATTGTTTGTTGGGAAAACCGAGTAAAGGCATGAACTTTCAGATCTTCTTTGTCACCTTCTCGACATATGAATCATTCAGTTAAAGAAAGGGTAAATATCAATTGATAGAAATATAAATATAAATGTAAACAAGATAAATGTATGTGTTGAATTTTTTTTTTTTTTTTTTTTTTTTTTTTTTTTTTTTTTTGAAATGAAGAGCGTCAGAAAACCTCTAAAATGTGTATAAACTTTACGTAATCGCTAACCCACGCTGTTCGGGTGGAGTACACATACTTGTAGATGTCATTTATGACTCAGTATAATTTATTATACCTCTACTGATTTTTCACTATAGAAGAGTAAACCGATATATGTTGCTGATTCCCTGAAAATCACCGTAAATGGACTGATTCCCTGCAAAAAGGTGCGTCAGTTTGATGAACTGATGAACTGATACACACCTATTCGGAACACCTAGCAATTTTTTTTATCGTATGAAAAGTATCGATATGTTCCAAATAAAATCAAGAATATTCATAATGCAGCTCAGTTAAAGTTATATACAAGTAAAATTGATGCAAAGCATCAAATCGGCCGCAATGCGTTCATATCTTACATACTCCCAGGTTGGGGAGTACTTTTGTAAACTCTCTTAATAATTATCTGATAAGAAATGAAAATGAAATTCAATTTTATAATAACAACAATTAAGACTTACTTTAAAGCAAGATTTTAAAATATTTTACTGATGATTTTATACATGTTATCATTAAAGAATTATTTCACTGAACTAACAAAGAAATAACGTCTCATTTCCCCATGTGCACTTTCTAACACAACCACAAATAGATCGGCCGCTGCTGCGGCTGATGATAAGGAGGCGGGGCCTAATTTATACGGGAAAGAGTATTGTGTTATTGTGACGTCAACAGTAAACTAATGTGCACTGAAATCTAGACGGATCACATAACTTTGTCACAGTGTAAATTATTTATCTAAAATAAAGTTGCTTGCAGATTCTGATACATGTATTTCATAAACAATTGATTATTGTATCATATAAACAATTGATTCAAGTGCAAAGACTTTATTTGTTTATTTATTTTATCTACATTCTGAGTAATCAATATTGCCATTGTGCACCTTATAATTGCACTGCGTATAAAATAGAATTGCAGTTATATCATTGAGGGAGTCAGCAAGAATCCAGTTCCCCTCGAGCAAGCCTATTTCCCTCGGCTGCGCCTCGGGTAATAGACTTGCTGTTGGGGAACTGGAATTTAGCTGACTCCCTCAATAATATACTTTAACTGTATATCAAAACAATAAACTGTACGTAATCGCTAACTCACGCTGTTCAAGTCGGGTACACATACTTGAAGATGTCATTTATGACTCAGTATAATTCAAAACAAACCTCGAATGACAAATTGATATTGCGTTCTGTCAAAAATTGTCAAAGAAATTACTTTTGCTTCGACTGAAAAAAAGTTGGGTTTTTTTTCAAATAAGATATACTTTTACCATTAAAAGGGAACATTTTAATGATACTTTTCTTATTTCAGAATACTTACATGTATAATACTTAAAATAGTAAATAGATGTGTGTAGAAAGAAAAGAAAATCTTTTCAGATATCGAATTCATTAATTAAAATCCTGCAGCTAATAACTACGAGATTGCAACGCATATTTATAATCTGGTTGGGATTATAATCTTGCTAAAATTTTGACACTTTTGCTCTTGTTTACTGATTTTTTTTTACTTAGATTGAGGCTTTTTTTTTGGGGGGGGGGGGGTGTTTTGTTTCGTTGTTTGTTTGTTTTCCATTATCTTTTCCATATGGTGATGCTTTTTTGACGATATTGTGACTCTTTTTCCTCTGATTTTGTATTAATAGATATAATGATTCGTATTAATAGATATAATGATTCTGAATATGAGATATAAATGAACTTGATTCAACACTGTTATACAAGTCTAAGAAGGAACATTTACTGGTATTTGTGATGTTTTAAGTTATTTTTACTAGTATCCCAAGATGAGTATGTAAGAACACCCATTGTTTAGTCATTATCATTTGTAACCAGGAAGTAGAACCTGACAAACTTTAAAGACAAAGGAATGGAACCCAGGCCTTGGTTTCACAAAACTGTCGTGAGATTTGTCCCGAGAAGATCTTAAATCATCTTAAGATCTGACTTATAACAATCATAAGATATAAGTCATCGTCGGTCGTTTTGCAAATATCATAGATGTTAGAAATCATAAGAAAACTTCATGCTTCAATATTACGGCGATTTGAAATGAAATCAAAATTGTTGTCATAGATGTTGATAAATTTAATTTCAAACACTGTGTGAGAAAAAAGTATTAAATAAAAGTTGCACAAATGTTTCTCAGTGAATAAAGGCAGATGACAAATGCAAATGTGATATTATTTTAGATGAGATCCTCTGCTACAGAAATAACTTTGGTAACCGACGAAGTAGAGAGAAAAAAATTAATCAGAATTGAACACTTTCAAATACTCCGAAGAAGGAAACATGTAGCGTTAGGCATACTATAAAACCTGGCCTGGCCCCTTCCGCCTGGCCTCTTAGTTGGCCTGACCTCTATTTTGGCCTCTAATTTGGCTCCAAACCAAATTTTGGCCTGACCTGAAAAGTTGGCCTGGCCTTAAATTTGGCCTCTGTAAAAATTTTTGGCCTCTGTTTTGGCCTCACCTTTTTCAGAATTTGATTGATTTGATTGATTTTTTATTGGTTTCAGTTTTTCTAAGTTAAAGCAGATAAATAATATATTTCTGTTGATTTGTAAATTTGCACATTATGGATCTTCTAAAAAACAAAGAGGAAAAAAAATAAAAAGGCTGTACCCAACGTTTTGGTCACCAAGTTTAACCCCTGTGTAAAAGGGTTAAGGAAACGACTCATGAAATGTTGGGATTACATAGAACATGACGAAATATGCAAAGACTTATTCACAACACATCCTGGGGTTGCATACAGTAAACACAAGAATAAAGGTGATCTGATCATTAGGTCCAGATTAAAATCAAATGAAGTTCAAAAAGATTGATTGATTTATGCATAAGGTGAACTCCTGACTAGGCGAGCATTATTACAAATATGAAATGACATGTGCTATTAATACCGCCGAAACACTCTTAATTAGTTTTGACATATAAGCAATTGACCAATGCTTCATTAAGATTGTCGGGTTCTAATAAGTTTAAGACGTGTCTGATTGTTAGGATGCCGTGGTGTTTTTTTTTTTTTTTTTTTTTTTTTTTTTTTTTTTTTTTTTTTTTGGTTTTGTTTTGTTTTTTTTTTTACACTGGATATATGAAGTACAGATATCTAAGAATTTTTAAATAGTAATACACTACCATAAACTAATGCAAATATCAAAAATGTTTATATCAATTTTACTCATTGATTATTCTTTTTAAGTTATGCATATTAATCTCAAAATAAGATGGAATTTAAAATTTTAAAATAAATAACATACTAGCAATCAGATAATTGATAACTTTCTGAATACTGTAATTGGATATTGGATTACAAAAAAAATGCAGCATGGTTCTTAACAGGGAGTCAAGGTTAATCAATGATACAATATGTATGTGCATTGTCACTTAAGCCACACATGTTTTGTAAATAATTTCTTGTCACAACTTTCTTTTCCCACAATTATCAAAACAAAAGGTGATTTTGATAACAGTTTAATAACATTGATGTTGTGAGCAATTGCATCCTATCAACATGATCAACCACACTATTAGAACCCTATAGCATTTGGTCAATTACTTGCATATCACAGTTTTGACAGTATTTCTATCATTTTAAGAAAAAAGTCCTGACCACATCATAAAAAAGGCATTTATTTTAATCTTAATAACAACAGTTTTAAAGTACAAACCAGTAACACTTAAAATAACAAATATAAATTCTTTTTAGTTCTTAGATTATTATTACCTATCTGCACTCATTTCTTTGTTGTCTTGATAATTTAAATGTATGCTTCTAAACTTTTTACTGTGTAGATATCATCAATTCTGCCTTGGAAATAAAATGAAGTCACATTTACTAAATCATTGGGTAATTTCGCATTGAAAGTAGAACTATATGCTCTGTGTTAGAGGCTTCAAAATTGAAACTGATCAAAGATAATCAATAGAATAAATCAGATTGGTGATAGTGCATGTTTATTTCAATGTGCACGTTTACAAATCAACAGAAATATATTATTTATCTGCTTTAACTTAGAAAAACTGAAACCAATAAAAAAAATCAATAAAATCAATCAAATTCTGAAAAAGAAATCATTTTTGGGTGAGGCAAAAATAAAGGCCAAAATTTTTACAGAGGCCAAAATAGAGGCCATGCCAACTTAGAGATCAAGCCAGGCCAAAGAGACCAGGCCATGTTTTACAGTATGCCGTAGCGTTAAAATTAATAACCGATCAGATCAAGTCGGCCACCCTAATACTAGGAGTAGTGAGTTTTCACACATACATGTATCCCTGCGGATGAGGGAGGAGGAGGTTCCCCAGGAGCTAAAACTATCTAAACTAAAAGACATCTTCATTTCTAGAAAAAAAAATATCATCAATACATGTAAAACGACTTTAAAATGCTTCTTCCTTGAGAGGCTTCTTAAGCATAGCGAGTTATGAGTTGTGTAAGATGTGTGTAAGATTAAATTCATTCTCTAGATCTTGGTCTTTGTATTGCCTTTAATAAATCTTGAATTTGGGTCATTGTCCATCGAACTACACGAATTGCATTTTTGCTCTTGGCTAAAATGGTTAAAGAAATAGTTTGGGTCGAATTAACAAACATTTTATCTCAATGGCTACTATGATTCTTTGAATGAAATTTATAAACAAATCAT